GCGGGGCAGAGATAAAGGGGGAGAGAAAGGATCCCAAGCAGGCTCCCCGCTAACAGTGTGGAGCCCAACGGAAGCTCGAACTCACGAACCTGTGAGATCATGACCTGAGCTGGAACCAAGTCAGACGCTTAACCTACTGAGCCACCCAGGCGCCCCTAAGATTTTATTTTTAAGTATTCTCTATACCCAGTGTGGGACTCTGACTCACGACTCTGAGATCACGAGACACACGCTTCATCCACCAACGGAGCCAGCCAGGCACCCCAAAAAGTAGGGCTTTTTTGCCCAATAGTTACTGGCACATGTCACAGTGATAGTATGTAAAGCATCCCAGAAGGAACATCTCACTGCATATTTTTTTCAATAAAAACACTTTTATCACCCTTGTCATATATATGTACACTATAACCAGGTGAGGAGATGATATTGTTAAATAGCTTGACTTTAGCAATCATTTCACTATTTTATAAAATACCATAGCAAAACCCAGTATTAGATTTTTTTAAAAATAGAAAAAAAAAAACACACAAACAAACTAAATTTAGGCCAGCCAAATCTGCCCACAGCCCGGTCTTCCCATCCTATAGCCACATAGGTACACATCTGATGAAGAAACATATTTCCTGTGTGTGTGATTTTGTGCATACAGTTTTCACGCATTACATCACTAACATATTTCCATGTAAATGGTATACGTCATCATTACCTACATCATTATCGTCAACGGTTTATCAAATTGCACTGTATATAATTTATTTGTACTATATTTATTTCCCTATTCTGGGAAATGTGGGTTGTTGCCAAAGAACCCCGTGAAAAAGACCATTGAAAATTTATCTGTGTACATTTGTTTGATATTTTCTTGGGATAAATTCATAGACGAAGAATCATTAGGTCAAGGAGAAAAGAAACATTTTATAGACTTTGATGCGTATCACCACATTGGCCTCCAGAAATGCTGTGTGCTGTGTTTTTATTCAGCTCAGGGATATCAGAGGATTTGTGTATGCCTACCTAAACATTCTGTTTTACCAATTTGCATGATGAGATAGTTTATGCTCTATAAAAATAATAATAATAATTTTTAATAGAAAATAAAATCCAATGCCTCACCTTCTTGGGAAACTGGAATCAGGATTCAATTATTAATTTGTTCATTCATTCATTCACTCACTCATTTCATTCAGAATTAAACCATTTTTCAGATTACAAGAGCTCTCACCTTTCCTGACCTGGCCAGGTCCTAACTGATGGGAAACTGGTGCCCTGACCTCAATGGGTTTCATTCCCCTCATCTGTGAATGGGGATAATACCATGAATGGGGAGATACAGGAAGAACCCAACTGTATCCATCACCCAGCTTCAACAATTTCTAACCCACAGCCAGCCTTAACCATCTGCTAATGTTTAAGTTAAATATTTCCATGAGCTTTTTTCTTGATGGCAATTCTCCTGTGACCTCATTTTCATCGGAAGCATGGTTCCTCATTATAGAGATAAGCCATCAATTATTGAATCAGTTCCTCTTTGTTGAACATTTAGATCACTTCCTGTTTTCCACGCTATCACCTATGCTGCTATGAACTTTCTCATAACTAAATCTTCCCTCCCATCCATGTCGTTTTCTGAGAATAAAATTCCTAGGAACAGAATTGTTGCTTCAAAGATGATCGCTAGAGAACGTTAGTTACAGACTTGTATTTCAGGGGGTGTCTCGGTGGCTCAGTCAGTTAAGCGTCCGACTTCAGCTCAGGTCATGATCTCACAGTTTGTGAGTTCAAGCCCCCAGTCTCTGTGCTAGGAGCCTGCTTTGAATTCTGTATCTCCCTCTTTTTCTGCCCTTCCCCCACTCATGTTCTCTCTCTCTCTCTCTCTCTCTCTCTCTCTCTCAGAAATAAACATAAAAAAAAAAAAAAGAACTTGTTTTTCAGGAGTTAAGGAGTTAACTTCTTAACTTCAGTTTCCTCATTTGGATAATGGTCCCTCATGGGATTATATGACAATGTACAGTGCCTGGAACATTCTAGACATTCAGTAAATGTGACCTGTTCATGTTGCTATTCACATTTTTAAAGCTTGTAATAATGATAAACTTGCCTGTTGTTTTTCTCACCAGCTATTGAAACTCTAGTTGTTACAGACAATTGCTCTGAAGAAGGAAAGGTCTTCAGCTTGAACACCTACATGAACTCAGTGGACATCCGTTGCAATGACATCGTGCAGGAAAACGTGAAAGGTACATGTAGTGGCTGCATTCAGAACCTCTAAGACACAAAGATCAGCATCATTATGTGAGTCATTGGGAGAGTCGCCAATAAGGTCTTTCCTAATTGGTTTGTTACCCGAAGACTGTGTCATTTGAGTCTTTTCCTTAAAAAAAAAAAAAAACCTCCCCAAAGTGGAGGCTTTCTATTCTTCAGTGTGGAAGACACTTCTTTGCAATTTGGAGGCTTTTCTGTCCAGGTCTCCGACGGGGTTCACCCAAATGCAGTCCCTGAGAGAAGCGTAAGGAGTGTATTTGGGATGTGATTCCAGGAGGCATCGGTAGGCGGATTAGTCACCGTTCTCCAGAGTAACAGAATCGATAGGATATGCGTGTGGGCAGAAAGAGAAACAGAGATCTTAAGAACTTAGCTCATGTGATTATGGAAGGTAGCAAGTCCAAACTCTAGCCAGCAGGCCGGAGACCCAGGGAAGAGTTAATGTAGCTACAGACCAAAGACAGCCGAGAGACAGAATACCCTCTTGTTTGGGAGAAGTCAGTCTTTTTCTTAAGGCCTGCAACTGATTGGGTGATGGAGGGTAATCTACTTTATTCAAAGTCTCCTGATGGAAATGTTACCCTCATCTGAAAAATACCTTCACGGCAACACCCGGACTCACGTTTGACCCAACAGCTGGGTAGCATGGCCTAGCCACACTGACACAAAATTAACCATCCCAGTAGGAGAGAGAGGAAATGAGACAGAGAAGAGGGGACGGCCACTACAGGTGTCAGTATGTCAGTGAGCAGATTTGCTGCAGGTGGTAACTGTGACCCGCCCTACCGAGCTCTCCCATTCTGCCCTGTGTACAAATCAAACACACTCCCTACAGGGAATGCCCCCAGGCAGAGAGTTACAATTGTTCGCAATAGAATCTATCAGCAGATAAGAAACCCGGGGCGCCTGGGGGGCTCAGTCAGTTAAGCATCTGACTCTTGATTCGGCTCAGGTCACGATCCCTGGGTCATGGGATCAAGCCCTGTATCAGGCCCTCTGCTGAGTATGGAGCCTGCTTGGGAATCTCTCCTTCCCTCTCTCTGCCCTCTCCCCTGCTCGTGTGTGCTCGCTCTCTCTCTCTCTCTCTCTCAAACCCAAGAGGGCCCAGGGAATAGTCAAGGCACCTACAGCACCTGCTAATCCTGTGTACACAGGAATGGATTGTTAAACTATTAACTGTCCCAGTGTTGCCAGACTTTCTGGTGTTTCAAGAGAAACCAAAAATCAGGTTGGTTGCATGAATACCTTCAATTTTTTTTTTAATGTTTATTTATTTTTGAGAGAGAGAGAGAGAGGGAGACACAGAATCGGAAACAGGCTCCAGGCTCTGAGCCATCAGCCCAGAGCCCGACGCGGGGCTCGAACTCACGGACCGCGAGATCGTGACCTGGCTGAAGTCGGACGCTCAACTGACTGCGCCACCCAGGCGCCCCATGCCTTCAGTTTTCAAATTTGGTCTTACCATAGCTGCCATGGCGTTATAACTGGTGTAATGTGATAAATGAGGTCTTAAAATCCCATCCTGTAAAGGTGGGTACAGCTGGTCTGTAATGTCAGCAAAAGTCCCAAAGGAAAGACAACAAAACGTGGACAACTAACCACATGCTGAACTGAGGAAGTGAGGCAATTAGTTCCTATTACTTCCTCTCCTCCCCCAAAAAGATAAGCGCGTGAATCTGCCCCGTTGGAGAACAGGCCAGGCGGAGGATAGAAGCCAAACTCCAGCCACGTGATTCACACCGGCGTTGTCCCCAGGTTCTTCTGAAACTCACGATTTGTGGAGAGTGTGCACGACTTCCCAGTGCAAGCCAGACGAAAACACATCTGTGGTCCCGCTTGCTCTTTAATCGCATCCTGGGGTCGTGGGGGGTCAGGATTTCACATAGGAATTCAGAGACGACACAGCTCAGCCCACAACGGCTGCCTATGCTGAATTGTTTAAGTAAATTACAGACATCGTAATGTGATTGCATGTGCCTCAAGGAGCCCCTGGCCTAGAGGTGCCCAGTACGGGACTCTTCACCCTCCCCCAGTGATGCCCCATAGTCTCATCTCTGGACATTTGCATTATCTGTTCCTCTGCCAGGAATGCCAACCACCACTCCACTGGGTGAACTGTTACTCTTCAACACAGCCTAGCCCTCACCTCCTCCATGAGGCCTCCCAGGACTGCGCACTTCCATCACGGCACCAAAATCTGACCCTCCCTCCTCTACGTTCCCCCAGCATCTCGAACCTACCCCATCCTGGCATCTAACGTGTTGTGCTGTGTCTTGATTGACACGTCTTTGTCTCCCCCACTGTGCTGGAAACCCCATAAGGACCAAAATCTTGAATGATTTCTTTCTATAGTCACCACGAGGGGCACATCAGCTGGAGGACAGGGATAAACGTTCGCTGAATTAAATCCACATTTAGGGCGATGCCTCAACATTCCCAGTGAGAGAAAAGAACCCATTGACAGCTCAGAGAGGGACACTTCTCTGTCCCTCAGGCTGTGTCTATTCTTTGTCATAGCAGCCATCCTGTGTCCAGTAGGGATGTTGAGCAGCAGCCTCTCCCCCACCTTGATTCACTAGACGTCAGTAGCCGTCACCCAGTGCGACAACCAAACATGCCTCCAGACATTGCCCAATGTCCCAAGAGGGGGCAGAATTGCCACTCCCCCCCGCCCCCACCAACTGAGAAATGCTCATCTAGAGCGACCTTATAAATGACCTTCAAAGAGCAACAACTTTAAGATCGAAGGGAGGTGTTACCAACTCGCCCCAAAGACACCCACCAGAGGTGAGCTGGGACTGTCCCAGGTAATTCGAGACAGACAGTCACATGACACCAGCTCCCCTGTAAAACATCTCAGAGAACAAATCCAGGCCACAGAGGCTGACCTTGGAAAAGTACAGCCACCCTTCTCTTTTCTGCTTGCGATTTTGCTTGTAACCAGAATACCTCTGCTCAAAACTAGGCCGTTTCCAAGCATAAGAGCAGGTGGACAGATCACCTGCCCGTCTTTTCCGTCCACCTACCGCTGTTTCACTCTGACAAATGGAAAACTGTCATGAACTCAGAGAAACAGAAATGAATCGCTTCTGTTCCCTCAGGCAAGACCAGAGAAGCCTGAGTAGAGAAGCGTGTGAAGAATTTATTCAAACAGGAATTTATTTTACTGCAGAGCTAGTAAGTGACTAGTAAGGGACTTTTATCCAGAAACCTGTTAACCTGTTTCCGGTCCCTACAATCCTCACTCATCCACATAGATGGCCTCTGCGGCGTGGACTTCTCTGCGGCTACAAAGAAAAAAGAAAACTTACGGACATGGGAATATGGTCATAGCATCCCGTAACTCTGTATAACCCATGCTATAGCCCATAATCCATTATATTCAGGCTAACTACAAATGCATTTGTTTTCTCCTTTTATATAAACAAGAGAAACTTATTTTCTCACAGTTCTGGAAGCTACAAGTCTGAGATCAAGGCGCAGGCAGGGTGGGTTTCTTCTGAGGCCTCTCTCCTTGGCAGATGGCCACCTTCTCTGTCTTCACACAGTCTTTTCCCTGTGAGTGCACGTCTCCGGTCTCTCTTTGCGTGTCCAGAGTTCTTCTTTACTCTTCAATGTGGCTCAGCTCTCACCCCCTCCGTGATGCCTCCCAGGATTGCCTATTTCCATCACGGCACCAAAGTCAGGTTCTCCCTCCTCTGGCCCCATCTTTATAAAGGCCCTGTCTTCAAACAGTCACATTCTGAAGGACTTGAACTTAATGAATTTTGGGGGTAGGGGGGACACAATTTGGCCCATCCTATTGATATATGCCATATACATGTCCTTCCACTGTATAATAGTTATAAATACATGATATAAATATATCACGTGCATTTTTATTTTTAGCCTATTAAAGTATATTAAATTATGGCATTCTTTTGCTTAACATCCTTTAGTGCCTTTCCACTAGCTTAAAATAAAAGATCTTTTTTTTTCTTTTTGCGGGGGGAGGGAAGGGCAGAGATAGAGAGAATCCCAAGCAGGCTCCACACTGCCAGTGCAGAGCCCCACACAGAGCTCGAACCCATGAACCCTGAGATCATGACCTGAGCTGAAATCAAGAGTCAGCCACTTTTTTCTCCACCCAGCCGCCCCAACCACTGTCTTAAAATAAAAGCAAAAGCCCTCCTCAAGGCTTATAAGGCCCTGCAGGATCTGCCCCCATCACCCCTGCCCTCACCCCTCCCCCCAACACACTCTCCACCCTACACACCCCTCTTCAGCCACACTGACCTCCTCCCTGTTCCCTGAACCAGCTGGGCATGTTCTCTTCTGTCGATGCCCACATGGCCCTCCCTGCCGTCACTCTGCTGTCTGAAAACTGTCTGAAATAGCATCCGCCAAATCTGCCTGTCCCCTCACCTCACTTAATTTTCTCCATAGGACCGATCATCCTGTGACATAGGCTTTTATTGGTTTGTTTATGTTTGTTTGCTTCTCTCCTGGACCAGAAAGTAAGATCCCTAAGAAGTGGTTTATCCTGTCCCCCACTGTATCTCCAGAATAGTGTCTGGAACATAGTAGGCATTCCATCAAAGAAAACTGAATATGTGAATAGATAGAGGTATGGGTATATTATGATCTCTTTTTTTTTTTCAATATTTATTTATTTTTGAGAGAGAGACAAAGACAGAGACAAGCAAGGGAGGAGCAGAGAGAGAGGGAGACACAGAATCCGAAGCAGGCTCCAGGCTCTGAGCTGTCCGCACAGAGCCCGACGCGGGGCTCGAACCCATGAACCGTGAGATCATGACCTGGGCCGATGTCAGACACTCAACCGACTGAGCCTCCCAGGCTCCCCATATTATGATTTCTATATACACTATTTCTAGATCTGGTTTACGTATATAATATACGGAAGGAGATGATTACATTCATACATACAAAGAGATAGACATATGTGTAACCCAACTATTAACGGATTTCCTTAAGTCCAGTCTCAACATTATTCTTCATCCAAAAGGAATGCAAAGCAAATGCTCCAAGTCTTGAAAAATAAGCCAGTCTTTCTGGAAGTCTCCAGGAGGCAGCAGAGGAAGTGGAAGAAGACCTACCCAACTTGCTGAGTTTCCTCCTCTTCGAGGCTGACCCACCTCTCTCCTCTCCTCCTCCCTCAAAATCCCATCAGCCTCTTCTTGGCCCTCCCCCCAACTTTGATATCATTTTCTCCTAAGGCCAGCAGTGTCCTCTCTTACACAAATCAGCTTAACCTCTCTCGGTCCATCCAGTTCTTCCTCCAAGTTTTCCCCTATTCAGTCCAGAAAAAGGGTTCAGGGCCAAAAACACGAAGTCTGTGTCAGAGGTGGAAAAGGGAGAGACAGTGAGAATCTCTATTGCACTCGCGCTCAGGTATGTGACTATGCGTGCACACGTATACCTGTGTATATGCACACGTGCGTGTGTGTGCGTGTGCATCATAGGTGTGGGGAAGGAACGGTGGCATTTTTTTTCAGACTCTCATTTCTCCGATTCCTCAGGTCCCACCGCAATTGCCTTTATTTCATACTCTTCTCTTGGAAACATCATAAACGCAACGTTCTTTGAAGAGGCAAATGGCAAAGACCGAGTTTACCTGAACTCTCAGGTAGTGAGTGCCGCTATTGGACCCGAAAGGAATACATCTCTCCCCAAGTCTGTGATTCTGAGTTTTCAGCACGTGAAGGTGGGTCAGAGCTGCTCTTTGAGCGTGCTTAGGGGGTCTTGGAGGTGGACCAAACAATGTGTACTCCCTCCCCGGTCTGGGCTTCTGGACTGTGCCGTCGAATACCGTAGCCAGGAGCCTCGTGAAACGTGGTGGGTCTGAATTGAGATTCAGAAGATGTAGTGTTTCTGGATTTAGACTCGTTATTTCCAGAGTTTGAACCCGTCCTAAGAAAACCACCATGCAAAGCAGCTCATTAATAATTTTTCGGGGGCTGCTGGCTGGCTCAGTCGGTGTAGCCTACGCCTCTTGATCTCGGGGTTGTGGGTCTGAACCCCACGTTCAGGGTAGAGATTACTTTTTTTTTTTACATTTATTTATTTTTGAGAGACAGAGTGAGAGTGGAGGAGGGGCAGAAAGAGAAGGAGACACAGAATCCGAAACAGGCTCCAGGCTCTGAGCAAGCGTTCAGCACAGAGCCCGATGCAGGGCTCGAACCCACGGACCATGAGATCATGACCTGAGCCGAAGTCAGACACTTAACCGGCTGAGCCACCCAGGCACCCCTACTTTTTTTTTAATCTGAAAAAATAATAATAATAATTTGGGGGTGCCTGGGTGGCTCGGTTGGTTAAGCATAGGACTTGGAATTTTATTTTATTTTATTTTTGAATTTACATGCAAGTTAGTTAGCACAGAGTGCTGTAATGATTTTAGTAGATTCTAGTGATTCACCCCCCATGTATAACATCCAGTGCTCATCCCAACAAGTGTCCTCCTTAATGTCCCTTACCCATTTGGCCCACCCCCCACCCACAACCCCTCCAGCCACCCTCAGTTGATTCTTTGTATTTAAGAGTCTCTTATGGGGCACCTGGGTGGCACAGTCAGTTAAGCGTCCGACTTCGGCTCAGGTCGTGATCTCACAGTTCGTGAGTTCGAGCCCCGCATCGGGCTCTGTGCTGACAGCTCAGAGCCTGGAGCCTGTTTCAAATTCTGTGTCTCCCTCTTTCTCTCTTCTCCCCCGCTCATGTTCTGTCTCTCTCTTCTCAAAAATAAATAAATGTAAAAAAAAAAAAAAGTTGCTAAGACAGTAGATTTTAAGTCCTCACCACAAAATAAAAATTACAACTACGTGAGGTGATGGATGTTAATTAACTTTGTTGTGCGGCGTATGCATAGATCAAATAATTATGTTGAATACCTTATACTTACGTAATTTATATGTCAATTATATCTCAAGAAAGCTGGCAAAGATATATAAACTTATTTTTTAATTTTAAAGAAAATAAGAATTGAGGGGGAGAAAGTGGGGACATGTCGGTTTCGCCTACCCGAGTCCTAAAATCTAAGTGTGGAATTTTTGATATATGGCATCTAGAGATGGTCTAGCGAATTATCAAAGGAGATACAGCCTCCCAACAGGAGAGCATTTGCCTCGTCTCCTTGGCCCCATGAAGTGATGCTCTGGAAACCCTTGGGAGAAAAAGAAGAGGTGGAAGGCTGATTCTGTTCTCTCTCTCCTGGCGACATTTCTTTCCTAAACTTCCCCGTCTCATTGCATGAGCAGTTGCTTTATAAGGGGTCAGGGACAGAACTGGTATGAAGGCATCATGGAAATTTGCCTTCGGGAGTGTTTAGGAGAAAACTCTATGAGCCATAGATACTTGATTTTATTTTATTTTATTTTATTTTATTTTATTTTATTTT